TTGGAGCCAGACCTCACAATCTGAAACTAAAACCAGATTGGCTAACAACTTAAAACTTTTCTAAACAGGAAAAAGCAATGGAGAATAAAAGGAAGCCCAAATAAGGAAGGGACATAAGCTGCGAGCTGGGACATGCCTGTGAGCACATCCAGCACAGGTAGCTTGGTTAAAGTACAAGGGCATAGAATGTACCACGTGTCTGTGAGCGTGTCTAGCAGCTACATAGGATGGGGCTTAACAGTTACTAGCAAGAAGGCTTTGAAGAAAGTCTTTAAAAGAGACTCTTATTTCTAACATTTATTATGATTATTATTCTTTAACAAGAAAGGAAACTTTGAAAAGGAACTTTTCCACTTCCCACAGTGGCACATGGAATTTTTTTCAGAAGGAAGACCTGAGATGCGCAAACGAAATAGTAAACATGGTGTAGTCTCCAAGACAATAATATGTAATTCAGGACGATCTGAACAGAAAGAGTTTGCTGAAGCCCCCCGCCCCCTTTTTTTAACCTAGGAGGAGATTAAATACCGGCAATTAACTTTAGATTTTGTTAAATATACATATTAAAATATGTTGGGGCTGGGCGCAATGGCTCACCCCTGCAATCCCAGCACTTTAGGAGGCCGAGGCGGGCAGCTCACCTGCGGTCAGGAGTTCAAGACTAGCCTGGCCAACATGGCAAAGTCCCATCTCTACTAAAAATACAAAAATTAACTGGGCATGGTGACAGGCACCTGTAATCCCAGCTACTAGAGAGGCTGAGGCATAAGAATAGCTTGAACCTGGAAAGTGGAGGTTTTGGTGAGCCAAGATCACACCACTACACTCCAGTCTGGGGAATAGAACAAGACTTTGTCTCAAAAATACTTGTGTGTGTGTGTGTGTGTGTGTAGGATAACCACAGAAAGAATAGATATGAAATGTGCAGTATCCAAGTCACTGTGGGGCAGGGCAGGGGAGAAAAAGAAAACCTTGATCAATTCTTAACAATGCGGGCTGGGCGTGGTGGCTCATGCCTGTAATCTCAGCACTTTGGGAGGCCGAGATGGGCGGATCACCTGAGGTCGGGAGTTCGAGACCAGCCTGACCAACATGGAGAAACCCTGTCTATACCAAAAAAACAAAATCAGCTGGGTGTGGTGGTGCATGCCTGTAATTCTAGCTCCTGAGGAGGCCGAGGCAGGAGAATCACCTGAAACTGAGAGGTGGAGGTTGTAGTGGGTCTAGATTGCACCATTGCAGTCTAGCCTGGAAAATAAGAGCAAAACTCCACCTCAAAAAAAAAAAAGCAAAAAAAGAGAAAGATGAAAACTTTGAACAGCTGGGCGCGGTGGCTCACACCTATAATCCCAGCACTTCGGGAGGCCGAGGTGGGTGGATCACGAGGTCAAGAAATGGAGACCATCCTGGTCAACATGGTGAAACCCCATCTCTACTAAAAAAAAAAATACAAAAATTAGCTGGGCATGGTGACACGCGCCTGTAGTCCCAGCTACTCGGGAGGCTGAGGCAGGAGAATTGCCTGAACCCAGGAGGCGGAGGTTGCGGTGAGCCGAGATCGCGCCATTGCACTCCAGCCTGGGTAACAAGAGCGAAACTCCGTCTCAAAAAAAAAAAAAGAAAAAGAAAAGAAAAGAAAACTTTGACCATTAGCAAGCACAAAAATAAGATGGTTAAAATAAATATGTCCAAATCATACATTTTTAAATTCCGGCTATTTTGTGTTTAAAAATGATAAACCTAAAATTGCGGACATGGGAAGGCTGGAGGTAGAAGGATGAGAAAGTTATACCAGGCAAGTAAGGACCGAAGTGGAACTGTGGCACCAAATTAGTACCCCACAAATTTGACTTTAAGGCAAAGAATATTACTAGAGATAAAAGAGAGTCAAAACCTAAAGAACAGGCTGTGCACAGTGGCTCATGCCTGTAATCCCAGCACTCTGGGAGGCCGAGGTGGGTGGATCACCTGGGGTCAGGAGTTCAAGACTAGCCTGGCCAACATGGTGAAACCCCATCTCTGTTAACAATATAAAAAATTAGCTAGGCATGGTGGCAGGCACCTGTAATCCCAGCTACTCAGGAGGCTGAGGCAGGAGAATTGCTTGAACCCTGGAGGCGGAGGTTACAGTGAGTCAAAGTTGCACCGCTGCACTCCAGCCTGGGTGACAAGAGTGAAACTCCTTCTCAAAAAATAAATAAATAGGCCAGGTACATTGGCTCACGCCTGTAATCCCAACACTTTGGGAGGCTGAGGCAGGTGGATCACCTGAGGTCTGGAGTTCAAGACCAGCCTGGCCAACGTGGTGAAACCCCATCTCTACTAAAAATGCAAAAATTAGCCAGGCATGGTGGCGGGTGCCTGTAATCCCAGCTACTTGGGAGGCTGAAACAGGAAAACTGCTTGAACCTGGGGGCAGAGGTTGCAGTGAGCCGAGAGTGTGCCATTGCACTCCAGCCTGGGCAACAACAGTGAAACTCTGTCTCAAAAAAATAAAAATAAATAAATAATAAATAAATAAATCTAAAAAACAAAAGCTTTCATCTATCAGGTTTAGGAGACATTGGACATGAAGACCTATGAAGGGAGCAGTCATCACCCCCTCCTTCTTCAAGAATTGCTTTTGTGTTTAAAAAGTTCTTTGGCATTTATTTGGTAAATATCCAACACTCACATCAAGCCAAAGAGGTAGGGGAGGTAGATGTCACCACCCCCCTTTTACAGACGAGGAGCCTTATGTTTAGAGAGGTTAGGGACTTGCCTAAGGTCACACAGCAGCAGAAGGTTCTTTTTTTTTTTCTTTTTTTTTTAGTAGAGACGGGGTTTCACCTTGTTGACCAGGATGGTCTCCAGAAGGTTCTTTTTTATTTTTGAGACAGAGTCTCACTCTGTTGCCCAGGCTGGAGTACAGTGCCATGATTGTGGCTCACTGAAGCTTTGAACTCCTAGATTCAAATAATCTTCCTGCCTCAGCCTCCCAAGTAGGTGGGACCACAGGCGTGCATCACCACACCTGGCTAATTGTTGTATTTTTTCTCGTAGCGACGAGGTCTTGCAATGCTGCCCAGGCTGGTCCTGAATTCCTGGGCTCCAGAGATCCTCCTGCCTCAGCCTGCCCAAGTGCTGATATTGCAAGTGTAAGCCACTGCGCCTGGTCAGCAGAAGGAGTTCATCACAGGTCTTCTGACTGAGTGCTCTTTCCTCTCCCAGCAGGAGCTTACAAAGGATAAACATACAATCTGGAGAGAGGAAGGAAAGGGATGGCTGAGCATGGTGGGGAACAATGAGGGCAAAGGCTTGTCTGGTGGAAATGGAAGGACATTTGCAGTCTTGAAGCAAGTGTGATCAAGCTTGGCTGATGGCATGGCGAAGCCTGGGTAATAGCGGGGAGTCCAGCCAGGTTCTGAGGTACCTGAAGGTGGAAGAGTTTTTTTGTTTTCTTTTGATTGTTTTTGAGAAGGAATCTCACTCTGTCACCCAGGCTGGAGTGCAGTGGCATGATCACAGCTCACTGTAACCTCCGCCTCCCAGGTCCAAGCGAGTCTCCTGCGACAGCCTCCTGAATAGCTGGGATTATGGGTGCACACCATCACGCCAGCTAATTTTTGCATTTTTAGTAGAGATGGGGTTTTGCCATGTTGGCCAGGCTGGTCTCAAACTCCTGACCTCAAGTGATCCAGCTGCCTTGGCCTCCCAAAGTGTTGGGATTACAGGCATGAGCTGCCGTGTCTGGCCTTTTCTTTCTTTCTTTCTTTTTCTTTCTTTCTTCTTTCTTTTTTTTAACAAGGAATTTATTATAGTTTTATTTTCTCTGCATTTGGAAAATATTTAGGACCAACATGAAAAAGAAATACGTTCTGTGTGGAAAAATGACACTGAAAAGGGAGGTGGGAAGGCTGAAAGGGATTAGTGCTTTAGTTGCAAGGAGCTGCAGCATCTCTGGTCCAAGGTATCAAAAAGATATTGGGAAGACATAACAGGAGGAAGAAGAATGTGAATTTACTGAGGGAGAGGGCCCCGAAGTGGGCTGTGAAGGGGAACTGGAGGCCAGGGAGTAGGCTGGGTGGAGAGAGAGGCCCCTACTGGAAGCCGTAGGGTGCGGGTTGTGGAGGGCCTGTGTATCCCTGTGCATCAGTGGAGGAGGCTCATGCATACCATGGAGGCATAGGACCTCGTGACCCATGGGAGATCCAGACTGAGGGCCCCTGGGGGGAATGCCCATTGGAGGAGGTCCAGGATGAGGCATTCCAGGTGGTCAGGGTGGTGACTGCCCCCCAGATCCTGGGGGCCCAGCACGGGGGTGTCCTCAGCCATGAGGACCATGGTGTGCCAGCTGCATCTGAGACATCCCCAGATGGGGCACCGCACCTGTTCGGAACAGGTGAGGATGTGAGTGTTCATGACCTGGATGTCCTGCGCCTGGGGTTCCTGCCGATGGGGGCCGGGAGCATATCCTGCAGCTCCAGGAAGCATAGGTGGTGGGGGCACGGCTGGGGGTATCCCCAGTGGGGGGGCTCGGGGAGGCAGCTGTAGGAGCCAGCTGGAGCCAGGAGGAGGCACGCCTGGTGGAGGAAGCCCAGACCCCACAGGATTCCCGGCAGAGCGTGGAGGTTCCCAGCGATCTGAAGGTCAGGAGAATGTCGCCGGTCTTGCACGTGCAAAAGTTGCCGTGAGGCCACGTGCTTTGACTGCGGAGGACCCCACGCTGTGCCTGGACGTCGGTGGCCACGCCCATGACTCAGGGCTGGGCGGGGCCAAGCGCGGGACAGCACGCTCTGCTCGCCTACGTCCCCACCCGCCAGCCACCTGCAGGGGTCGTTAGCGGTCCCAGCCCCGAGCCCCCTCTAGATTCAAATCCGACTGGGTGAAGGAGGACCCGAGGAGGACCCACGCACTCAGGGCAGGTCCAGGAGGGCAGGAAACTGACCTCAGGGTCTTTTGGTGGGAAAAGGAGGGAGGTTGTGAGCGTCCTTAAGTGGATGGGGTGGGGGTGGAGTGCGAGGGGGAAGTCGGAGGGATGGGGACAGGGAGCAGAGAAATGGACAGAAAAGCCCCGACGTGAGGGGCGAGGGTGTAGGAAGGGCTCCTGTGGCTTAAGCGGCCTCAAGTTCACTTGGGCAAGAGGTGATGGTGTGGTGGTCCTGGTTAGGAGCCGGCGCTGTGGAGCCAGCCCTGGGGTGGCCCCTCTGAGGCCTTGGGGGTGGGAGCAGACAGCCCTTATAATCTCGTGTCCTCATCTCTAAAACAGGGAACTTAAATCCTAGGGCTGCTGTGCAGATTAAACATCAGGACGCCTGTTGAAGGCTGCACAGTGCCTAGCTGTCATTTATTCAGTGCATGTTTCCAAGCCCCTGCTGGGTGTCAGGCATTGTTCTATGGGCTGCAAATCCAGCAGGGAAAAAAACAGAAACAAAACCAGCCTGTCCTCATGTGGCTCCTAGGCCACTGGAGGGAGAAATACACCAATTTCTTCACTATTAGGTGGCCACAAGTGCAGGGCAAGAGAGTGAGGAGAGGCCAGGGTGCTGCAGTTAGAGAGAGAGTGGGTAGGGAGGGCTCACTGTGATATGGGAGGCAGAACTTGAAGGCAGAGGGAGCAGCAGCACAGGTGAGGGCATGTGTGGTGTTTGGAGGAGCAGCCAGGGGGCTGGTGTGTGTGGACAGTGGGGAGGATTGTAAAGTAACTGGGAGCCAGATTTTAAAGACTTTGCAGGGTTAAGTGTGGTGGCTCACGCCTGTAATCCCAGCACTTTCAGAGGCTGAGGCAGGTGGGTCAAGACCAGCCTGGCCATCATCGTGAAATGCCACCTCTACCAAAAAATGCAAAAATTAGCCGGGTGTTGTGGCATGCGCCTGTGGTCCCAGTTTCTTAGAGGCTGAGGCAGGAGGATCCCTTGAGCCCAGGGAGGCAGGTGGAGGTTGCAGTGAGCCGGGATCACGCCGTTGTACGAGGCTGGGTGACAAAGTGACACTCCATCTCAAAAAAAACAAAAACGGTTTTAGCCAGGCGTGGTGGCTCACACCTGTAATCCCAGCACTTTGGGAAGCCAAGGTGGGCAGATCACAAGGTCAAGAGTTCAAGAGCAGCCTGACCAACATGGTGAAACTCTGTCTTTACTAAAAATACAAAAATTAGCCAGGCATGGTGACATGTGCCTGTAATCCCAGCTACTCAGGAGGCTGAAGCAGGAGAATCACTTGAACCCGGAAGGCGGAGGTTGCAGTAAGCCAAGATTGTGCTACTGCACTCCAGCCTGGGCAACAGAGTGAGACTCCATCTCAAAAAAAAACAAAACAAAACAAAACCATTTTGCAGCCTAAGACCCCATCTCAAAAAAAAAAAAAAAAAAAACCGTTTTGCAGCCTAAGGTATCTTGCAGCTGGAAAGCAGACAGTCTGTAAACAAATGGGCTTTGTTCCAATATAACTTTATTCACATAAGGGACCACTGGCCCAGGCAGTAGTTTGCTAGCCCCTGACCTATGCCTTGAAGGCTTACAGGAGCACTGAGTGGGCTGGAGAGCCTTTGTGGCATTTGAGTTGAGGCAGGGCATGATCTGATTTAAGTGTTCACAGGATCACCCTGCTGCTGCGTGAGGAGGAAGCTCTCGGGCGTGAGGACGAGGGCAGAATAAGAGTTACTAGTTGGGAGGTGGCAGGTGAGGGCCACTTGGCCCAGTGCACCAGGGTCAGATCCTGGATGTGTTTGGGAGGCAGAGCCTATCAGAGCAGCCACTGGTGTGAGGGAGAAGGGGAGTTGGGGGTGGCTCCAGGATTTTTGTTTGAGCCATCAGAAGGCTGGAGCTGCCATCTGTGGACAAGGAGGGCACTGATGGGGGAGAGCTGGTTTTGAGGATGGCTAGAGTTCAGTTTTTGACTTTTTTTTTTTTTTTAGACAGAGTCTTGCTCTGTTGCCCAGGCTAGAGTGCATTGGTGCGATTTTGGCTCACTGCAACCTCCGCCTCCCTGGTTCAAGCAATTCTGCCTCAGCCTCCTGAGTAGCTAGGATTATAGGCACACATCACCACACCTGGCTAATTTTTGTATTTTTAGTAGAGATGGGGTTTCATCATGTTGGTCAGGCTGGTCTCAAACTCCTGACCACGTGATCCACGTGCCTCAGCCTCCCAACAGTTTTGGACACATTAACACTGAACTGCCTGTTAGACATCGGGTAGGCTTGGAGGAGGTCACTGGACCTGCATGGTCAGACCTGTATGCAGATCAGCCAAGAGGTCTGGGGGACAGGATTAGGCAGCATTTGACCTGGTCACTTACCATGGAAAGGGAGACCGATGGGTAGGGCAGGGAGAGGAGACCCTGAGAGACCAGAGCAGTGAGGAACAGGCCCTGGGCAGCTGGGACCAGGTCAGGGCAGCCAGGAGTGCTGCTAAAGGGAGGGGGTAAGGATGAGAATGGGGTGGGGCTGAATGAGAGCCAGGTCAACCTGTCCTCTCCCCGCAGGGCCCATCTGATCACACGGACCAGGCCACTGACTGTGGGGTGGACCCAGGACGCCCCTGTACCCGAGCCCATGGAGCTAAGGTCTGATGCCAGCCACAAGGAGAATGTGTCCCCAAAGCCTGCAGTGCCTCTGAAGCCAGGCAAGAGGCTTGGTGGGCCTGAACGGGTGCTTACAGGAGCAGGGCCCCCTTTAGATATCCACCCAGAGCCCCCCTCCCAGGCAGGCAAGCCTAAGGCCTGGCTAGTTCCAGAGATCAGCCATCCATGGTCGACTGGGCAAAGGACAGAGTCTTCCCAGCCTGGGGCCAAAGGAGGGGGGTTCTTGGGAGAGTGAGATTAGGAAGAGAGAGGAACAGAAGTAGGCCTGGCTGGTACCCCAGCTAAGACGGGGTCCCCACAGGTCAGTCTGTGCCAGGGGTGGGGGGCTGGGGAACGTCCCTACTCAGGCTACTGAGCTTTAAGAAAGCCACAGAGCTGGGCCAGCCAACAAGGGGAACAGCCCAAGAACAAATGCAGATTCTTGAATTAACATCCCAGTTTCTTTGTGTTCCAGCTGTGTGACCCTGGGGCAAGTTGCTTAACCTCTCTGAGCTTTAGTTCCTATCCACAAAGGCAGCAACTTTTATGGCCCACTCAACCTGCCAGGCCCTGAGCCCAGAGCCTCCCAGCACCTCTTCCATCCCCACGAGGACTCTGTGGCTGTGAAGTGGGTGTGAGGGCTGGGGAGGGGCTTCAAAGCCCCCCTCCATGTTCCCAGAGCAGCTCACCTTTAGCCATTGCTCTATGGGGTCTCGCTTTCATCCCAGCCCGCTGCCCCTGCCACCTCTTTGCTCCCAGAAATCAAGTAGTCCCCCTTGATTCTTTTTTTTCCCGTTTACCGATTTCCAAGCCCGTTGGCTCCACCTCTGAAGCTTATCTGAATCTTCTCTCTACCCACCTGCTAGTCTGATCCCAGCCGCCATCATCTCTCTCTTGGGACCCCCTCAACAGCCTCCTACATGTCTCTCTGCTTCCCTCTGTCCGGCTCCAAGACCCCCAGGGTCTGCCCATTGCTTCACCCAGGGAGGCAGAGCTGGCAGCAGACCCCGGAAATCTTAGCTCCCTCCCGCTGCTGGGCCCTGTCCCCTCCCTTGATCCAAGACCTGGACGGCTCCACCTGTCCCCTGAGTGCCAGCCCATCCAAGTTCTCCCCCAGGCCATGACTGTCCCTCCTCTTTTTTTTAATTGAGATGGAGTCTCACTGTAGCTCAATCTTGGCTCACTGCAACCTCTAGCTCCCGGGTTCAAGCAATTCTCCTGCCTCAGCCTCCTGAGTAGTTGGTACTATAGGCGCGCACCACCACACCTGGCTAATTTTTGTATTTTTAGTAGAGATGGGGTTTCACCATATTGGCCAGCCTGGTCTTGAACTCCTGATCTTGTGATCTGCCCTCCTCAGCCTCCTAAAGTGCTGGGATTACAGGCCGTGAGCCACCACGCCCAGCTGACTGTCTCTCCTCTCTTTAGAGCAACGGAGATTCTGGAGGAGCCTGGGCATTGGCCTGAGCAGTAGCCATGACCGGTGGGTGCCCAGGTGCCAGGTGGAGAGGGGAGAGCCTGCTGCCACACCCTCCCCAGGGGCAGTGCTAGACCAGGAGCCCTGCCGAGTCCAGACCAACCTGGCCAGCTCTGGCCCCTGTCTGGGCCTAGCCCTGAAGGACACGACTGGCCGACTAGTCAATTCAAGCTTCTGGCAACAGAGCAACCTGCAGCCCCCGACCAGGAGGTGCCAAGGGAAGGCCCAAAAATTTGCCATCCAGCAGAGCAACCTGAGCATAAGTGAGACCAGCAGCCCCCTCCTCTGCCCAGAGCCGGTGGGGAGCTTTAGGCCCCATGAGCTGCTCCAGAGATATCTCCTCTCCCAAGGGGCATTGGCTTGCCCATCCCCCTATCGGAGGCAGTCCAGACTGCCAGCCCCAGGCACCCCTAGCCGGGACTTCAGGCCCGCTGCAGCCTTTGCCCCTCTCGATGGGCACCCATGGCCAGGCCTCAGATCCTGGGGTGACCTGGGGAGCTGGACGTCCAGGCTGGTGGGGGAACCTCTCACCCTGGAGGACCTGGCTGACCCCAGTCAGAACCCGGCTCGGGCCCAGTCCCATGCTGCTGTCCACCAGCTTCTGGCCTCTGTACATCGCCTGGCGCCGGAGGCAGCCCAACTCAGCTGCCAGGCATCCCAGGAACCCCCCGGTGCTGTGCAGCAGGACCTGTGGACCAGCGACAGCCAGCCACTCTCCACCCACCCTCAGCCCGGCCAGCCTGTCCTTACTTCCTGGGATGAGAGAAGACAACTCAGAGGCCACAGGGAAACTGCAGCTTTCCTGCAGACTCTGGCTGCTCCCTCAGACTCTTGGGCTCAAAGTAAGCTAATGTCACTTGAGACCACTGTGGGGACATTGACTGGGGATTTCCTTAATCCTGAACAGGGGCTCCCTCCCGCCCATCCCCTAGGGTCAGGAGACAGCTATTCCCCTGGGTCTCCACGTGACAGGGAACAGAGGGGTTGAGGAGTGGGGAGCAGGGAGGCCGGCCCCTGTTCCTCAGCCTTCTCCAACACAGCCTGGGGAGTCCCACCCAAGCAGAAAGGAGAGGAGGGGGCCCGAGGGAGCAGGTCCGCAGGGAGGAGGCGAGGACGGCTTCACATCTGCCAGACACAGCCCCAGTGAGCAGTGCCTCACAGGTAAAGGAGGCTGGAGGTGGGTGGGGGAGGGGGTGTTGCTCCAGGACTGGGAGGCTTGGCAGGGGGTGCCATGACCCGCCTGCTCCTTGGGCTGAGAACTGTGTTGCTTACTCTTGCTTTCCCAGAACAAGGCACAAAATATCTTGGCCCCGGAGTCCAAGGCAACCTGGTGAGGCCATGCATGACTGGGTAGGGATAGGGGTTAGAGTTGGGGCACACATGCTCAGGACTCCTGCTCCCATTTGCCTGAGTGAACAGAGACAAGGGCCTGATAGAGATGAAGCCAGGACTCCCCGCTCCCATTTGCCTGAGCAAACGGAGACAGGGGCCTGCTGGAGACGAGGCAGAGGTCAAGGAAAGGGAACTTCTTACCTGTCCCTGCTGGGGAACGAAGGGAGCCTCCTGGGCCCACGCACAAGAATGAGGGGACTGATGCCTGTGGGTTTGGAGCACTGAGTGTCCTGAACGTCTGAGGCCACCCTGAGTTTTTGGCAAAGAGGGCAGCCTCTGGCCGGATGCGGTGGCTCGTGCCTGTAATCGCAACACTGGGAGACTGAGGCAGGCAGACTGCTTGAGCTCGGGAGCTCAGGACCAGTCTGAGCAAGGTGGCAAAAGCCTGTCTCTACAAACACGGTACAAAAATTAGCTGGGTGTGGTGGTACACGTCTGTAGTCTCAGCTACTCGGGAGGCTGAGGTGGGAGGATCACCTGAGCCCAGGAGTGAGCCATTATCAAGCCAGTGCACTCCAGCCTGGGTGACAGAGCAAGCTCCTGTCTCAAAAAATGTATACATTAATTCAAAAGAAATAAAGAAGGCCTTCTTCCACCCCCAGGGCCTTGTTTGTGTGGGATTTCCAGGTCCATCCATCAATACTAGGGAAGTTCTCCCAGTCGGCAGTGTGAGGCTCCTGTTGAGGGTTATCACCCTACTGATTCCTGGAAAGACATCTCGAAGGGTACCCAGCCGCTAGGCACTCCCTGGGGACAGGAGGGCAGTCCACCCCTGATCAGCCCTGGTCTGTCCCCAGCTGGCAGCTGCTGTCCAGATATTTTCAAGCCTGGAGGCACTTGGTGAAAATGCAGCCGGTGGCAGTGGCGGCGGCAGTGGCACTGGGCTACCAGCAGCTGTTGCAAAAGGGCCTTCAGGCCCTGTGGCTCCGGGAGGCTCAGCTGGAGGCAGCTTGGGGGTGATACACAAAGGCCCTGCTTGGCAGGAGCTTCCAAGATGTCAGGGGTCTCCAGGTTGGGCCAGGGGGAGGTATGAAGCACTGGTGTCTAGGGAGGACGCTCAGTCACAGAGAGGGCACCCACTGGGCATAGGTTGCACCTCATGCAACGATCAGCAGTAGAGCGTGTAGTTATGAGTCAGCACGCCTGACTCAGCTCTGCCTGAGTTCAAATCCTGCCCCCTGTACTACTTTCTAGCTGTGTGACTTTGGGCAAGTTACCTAACCTCTCTGTGCCCCTGTCTCTTTATCTCTAAAATGGGATTATGATGATAGTAGTACATACCTCTCTCAGGGTTACAGTGAGATTAAATTAGTAAGCGATTCAGAACTCTGCTTAGCACATAGCAAGCTACTAGATAAATGGTTGCTATTTTTAATTGGTGGTTTGCCAGCCAGGGTTGGGAGGGAACATCTGTGTCCTTCCCTCCTTGGGAAAGGGGTACTCTGAGAGGATCCAGTCCCAGCTTTCGTGTTTTGTTTGTTTAAGACAGAGTCTTGCTCTGTCGCCAGGCTGGGGTGCAGTGGCATGATCCCAGCTCACTGCAACCTCTACATCCTGGAGGTTGTTCAAGAGATTCTCCTGCCTTAGCCTCCCGAGTAGCTGGGACTACAGGCACGCGCCACCACGCCCAGCTAATTTTTGTGTTTTTACTAGAGATGGGGTTTCACCATGTTGGCCAGGATGGTCTTGATCTCTTTTTTTTTTTGAGATGGAATCTTGCTCTGTCACCAGGCTGGAGTGCAGTGGCGTGATCTCAGTCACTGCAATCTCTGCCTCCCAGGTTGAAGTGATTCTCTTGCCTCAGCCTCCTGAGTAGCTGGGACTACAGGCATGTGTCATCATGCCCAGCTAATTTTTGTATTTTTTAGTAGAGACAGAGTTTCACTATGTTGACCAGGATGGTCTCAATCTCTTGACCTCATGATCCTCCCACCTTGGTCTCCCAAAGTGCTAGGATTATAGGCATGAGCCATGGTGCCCGGCTGGTATCAATCTCTTGACCTCAAGATCTGCCTGCCTCAGGCTCCCAAAGCCCTGCGATTACAGGCATGAGCCACTGCACCTGGCCCCAGCTTTCGTCTTCTAAGGAAGGCGTCGCCTCTTGGGACGCACCTCTCTCTATTTGTTCATTCATTCATTCCTTCATTCTCAAAGAAGGAATGACTAGGCAGAGTTATAGTTAAGACCACAGGCTGTGGAGTCTGATAGGTGTGTCCCTGCCTAGTGCTCCCTTGGGAGGAAGAGTCAAGGCCAACATCTCCTTTCTCCTTCTCTCTTGACCCAGTGGAGAAACCTGGCTCTGCAGCAGAAACAAGGACAGCCCCACACACGGGATGGGTCAGGGTCCCCGCCTTCCAGGAGAGCCCAGGGCCAAGGCCCATCCTTGGGAAGAAGCACAGTGGCAAACCCCGCCCAGAGAAGCAGGCTGGAACACACCATTTGGTCCATGTGGCCGGGGCAGCTGGTGGCCTCCCTCCCCTCACTTTCTGTCTTGCCACCCCTACTTCTCATCCCCAAAAAGAATGGAAATGAAATAAGCAAATGTGGGCAAAGATGTATGGAAAAAAGATGTCCATCATGGCATCGTTTATCATTGTAAAAACTACCTGATCTTCGTTGCCTAATACCTGAAAAAAGAAAAAAAGAGTATAATTGTAAAAACTTCAAAACAGCCGGGCATGGTGGTTCACGCCTGTAACCCCAACACTTTGGGAGACCGAGGCAGACGTATCACTTGAGGCCAGGAGTTAGACACCAGCCTGGGCAACATATCGAGACCCCATCTCTAGAGAAAAAAAAGTAAACATTTAGCCAGGTGTGGGGGCATGCTTGTAGTCCCAGCCACTCTAGAGACTGAGGCGGGAGGATCGCTTGAGCCCAGGAAATCAAGGCTGCAGTGAACTATGATCATGCCACTGCACTCCAGCCTAGGCAACACAGCAAGACTCTGTCTCAAAAAAGCAAACTGAAAAGCAGCCTAAATGCCCAGTGGTAAGTGAGTAAATGATGGTTTAAGCCATCCAATATGATGTTTAGAAAGACTTTTTAAATTTTATTTTACTTATTATGATTACTTTTTGAGGCGGAGTCTCGCTCTGTTGCCCAGGCTGGAGTGCAGTGGCGTTATCTTGACTCACTGCAACCTCTGCCTCCCAGGTTCAAGCGATTCTCCTGCCTCAGCCTCCCAAGTAGCTGGTATTACAGGCTCACGCCACCCCACCCGGCTGACTTTTTTGTATTTTTAATAGAGATGGGGTTTCACCATGTTGCGTAGGCTGATCTTGAACTCTGGGCCTCAAGTGATCTGCCCACCTCAGCCTCCCAAAGTGCTGGGATTACAGGGGTGAGCCACTGCGCCCGGCCTCTGGCTATTTTTTTCTTTATTTCTCCAATTTTCTACTACATTTGTTTTTGTTTTTGTTTTCTTTCGAAACAGAGCCTCACTCTGTCACCCAGGCTGGAGTACAGAGTGTGATCTCTGCTCAATGCAACCTCTGCCTCCTAGGTTCAAGCAATTCTCATGCCTCAGCCTCCCAAGTAGTTGGGACTTCAAGTGTGTGCCACCGCACTGGCTGATTGTGTGTGTGTGTGTGTGTGCGCGCCACCGCACTGGCTGATTGTGTGTGTGTGTGTGTGCCACCGCACTGGCTGATTGTGTGTGTGTGTGTGTGTGTGTGTGCCACCGCACTGGTTGATTGTGTATGTGTGTGTGTGTGTGTGTGCGTGTGTGTGCCACCGCACTGGCTGTGTGTGTGTGTGTGTGTGTGTGTGCCACCGCACTGGCTGATTGTGTGTGTGTGTGTGTGTGCGCCACCGCACTGGCTGATTGTGTGTGTGTGTGTGTGTGTGTGTGTGTGTGTATGTATGTTTGGTAGATTTGCTGTGTTGACCATGCTGGTCTCAAACTCCTGGCTTTAAGTGATCTGCCTGCCTCAGCCTCCTAAAGTCCTGGGATTTCAGGTATGAGCCACCACGCCTGGCCATGTTCTTATTTTTAAATTGAACAAATGTATTTAAAGAATTATTTAAATGATATTTAATACATGTTTGTTGTTAAGAAGAAATCCAAACCGTATTGAAGAGAATAAATCAAGAGCAGAACCTGCCCCCAGCAATAGCTTTTAAATCAGGCATAAAATGAACTGTCCAGAAGAGAGTAGGGGACTCAGCATCCCCTGCTCCCTCGGCCAGAGCACACCTGGCTGGGGTGGGGTGGACAGGCTGGGACTGTGTGCCTCCCTCCCGGGTCATCAGCTTCTCTCTGGGCAACTTCGCTTCTAGTCCAGGAAGTCTGAAGGAGAAGAAGAGAGCTCGGTGGCTTCTGTCTAATCCTGGACAGAGAACAGACAGCAGAGAGGAGAGAGCCCAGATCCTGCAGGCCCTGCAACTGGCTGGTGAGATGTGGGGTGCTGGGAAAGTGGGGAGACAGAGCCTGGCCACCCAGGGCCTGCGCTCCACACTGGACGGGCTGGGGTGGGGGACCCCTGGGTGAATGAACATCTATTGTACATCTGCTTTGGCACCCTCCCAAAGACAATCCCATTTGAGCCTCCCAGTGACTCCCCAAGAGGAATTGTGCCCATTTTATGGATGGAGAACTGAGGTACAGAGAAGTTAAGCGACTAGTTTGAGGACACACAGCATGAGAGGAGCACAGCCTGCACTCATGGGCTGATGGGCTGATGCAGACCCACACCAGAGGCTAGAGTATTGGAACTAGACATCACTTTACTCAGAGATGGTGGTGACAAGCACCCCAGGTGTCAGGGGTCCCTCCTGGCTCAGATCCTCCCATCTGCTTACTCTTTTCTCTCCTCCTCTCTCTCTCCTTAGACTTCTTCTTGTGGTGCCAACAGAAGGAACGGGCCAGGCAGGAGAGGGAGGATCACACAGCCACACAGAGGACGGGGAGCTTCCCCCAGGCCTGGCACTCCACTGCTGCAGATGCAGCCTGGGGGGCCCCACTGAGCCCTCAGCACCAGAGAGCTTGGCTGTGCAGGTAGGATGTCCTTTCTTTTTTTTTGAGCTGGGGTCTCACTCTGTCACCCAGGCTGGAATACAGTGGTACCATCTTGGCTCACTGCACCCTCCATCTCCCTGGCTCAAGCGATCCTCCCATCTCAGCCTCCTGAGTAGCTGGGACCATAGGCACGTGCCACCATGCCCAGCTGACTTTTTGAATTTTTAGTAGACACAGGGCTCCACCATGTTGTCCAGCCTGGTTTCAAACTCCTGAACTCCAGTGATCTGCCCACCTTGGCCTCCCAAAGTGCTGGGATTACAGGGGTGAGCCAGCATGCCTGGCGCCAACTTCCCTTTAAGTCAGCTCTTGAGTTCTGGTGTTGGGAGGCAAGGATGCAAATAGGAAATGAAAGCAGCCATCGACTGAGCATGCCTTAAACGCGCTAGGCCGCCCCACTGGCTGGGGTTTGGTTATAAGCAAAGCTTAGTCCCAGCCTCCTACTTCTGCCCACCATCACAGTGGAACCGTGGCTGGTGAGGGAACAGACAGGTGTGTCAATACCACCTGGCTTAAGTGTCGTGAAGAGAAGGAACACAGATCTATGAGTTTATTTTTTGCTCCTTGGTGGTTAACTGGTTAACTCTTTATTATAGGCCTTTTTTTTTTTTTTTTTTTTTGAGACAGTGTCTAGCTCTCTCCCCGGCTGGAGTCCAGTGGTGCAATCTTGGCTCACTGCAACCTCTGCCTCCTGGGTTCAAGCGATTCTCCTGTCTCAGCCTCCTGAGTAGCTGAGATTATAGGCGCATGCCACCACACCTGGCTAATATTTTTGTAATTTTAGTAGAGATGGGGTTTCACCATATTGGTCAGGCTGGTCTCAAACTCCTGACCTCAGGTGATCCACCTGCCTTGGCCTCCCAAAGTGCTGGGATTACAGGCATGAGCCATGGTGCCCGGCCCAGGGGGCATTTTTATCTTACTCAAAAGTAGAGCAGTTAAAACCCCGGCACCACAATCACTCAGCTTCAACAAAATCAACCTTTCTGGAAGCTTGTTTCATGTGTACCCCATATACATGCCCCCTCCAAATTATTTTGAGACAAATCCCATGCATTATACTATTTAAGCCATACATATTTTTGTATGCCTCTGTAAAAGATAAGGACTCTTTAGAAACATAACCACTGGCCAGGCACAGTGACTCACACCTGTAATCCCAACACTTTGGGAGGTGGAGGCAGGTTGATCACTTGAGGTCAGGAGTTCGAGACCAGCCTGGCCAACATGGTGAAACCCCATGTCTACTAAAAATACAAAAATTCATTGAGCATGATGGTGGACACCTATAATCACAGCTACTCGAGAAGCAGATGAGAATTGCTTGAACCCGGGAGGCAGAGGTTGCAGTGAGCTGAGATCGTGCCACTGCACTCCAGAGTAAGAATCCATCAGAAGGAACGGGCATCCCACTCCTCCCCCTGGCCCTGCACAGGACCTGGCACACTGTGGTATCCAGCCAATGCCATGCCCTGGGAGGTGACCTAGGGACACTGAATTGAGCAGCAGGCCGTTGGGGCCATAGAGCTCTACAGGGGTGGCTGGAACCCGAGTGAATGCCCATCTCCCTGCCAAGTGCGTTTCCCCTGGTGGCAGGAACCATGTCTGTCTGGCTGTCACCGCTGGCTCCCAGCTCCTGCAGGAATGTTGCAGACACGGAATAAATACCATAAAGGAACAAGGGCAGGAGCCAGGGATCAAGCTCTTATCTCCTCCTGCTTCTGCTTCATTACACAACTAGAGAAACTGAGGCTCAGAGGGCTGGAGCAGCTTGCTCTAAATCCCAGTGGGAGTCAGGAGCAAGAAGGTCCTGTGACAAGACCTTGGTGCTGCCTCCACACAAGATGGTCACTGCTGGGATTCAGAGCCCAGAAAGGCTGTGTGTGAGGGGAGGATAGCGATCAGGAGGGGCTAGAAATGAATAAATAATAAAAACATAACCACAATACCACTCTCACACCAAAAAAAAAAAAAAAAGAACAACCATTCCTTAACACTCATGAATATCTGGCCAGTATTCATAGATACTCACATTTCCAATTGTTTTGCAAGTATATATCGTGTTAGAGTTTGTTGTGAAGTCCACGTATTGCTGTCGGGCGACAAGAGCGAAACTCCGACTACAAACCACAACAACAGAAAACCACAGAGGCTCGGAGAGATGAAGCGGCTTGCCCACGGCCTGGGTAGCGTGTCTGGCAACGGCAGGCAGCGGCAGCTGCAGTCATCAGTCCTTGCAATTGACACGGGCACTTTCCTTCTGCTCTCCCAGATGCTTTGGGGCCTGGCAGCGGTTTGCTCAAAGAGGGTCCCGGTACCGAGACCCCCTGGCTGACCGCCGGGCCAGAACCCTGAGGACATGCCTGGAACAGTGGGTGCAGATGAAGCAGCTAAGGGTCTCAGATCGGGCAAAGGCGACCCAGCTGTCCCTCTGCCGGCAGAAAGCAGGTGAGCTAGTGTTGGTTTCCACCCCAGCAAACCGTGTCACTTAAGCCCCTTTGTCAATGGGCCCCAGTTGAATGTGTGGATTCTTGTGGGAGGTGGTAGAACTGGGAGCTTTCTAGGAGGGCAGCCTGTAGGCCTGGGAGGGTGCGGGAGGGGTCCCAGAGTGGGCAGACTCCGACTGGGCCACATTCCTATGTCCCATCGCGGGCTGTTCTGGGTGAGAGACTTGGTTCTGCTCCTCACACTGCAGGCTCCCAGTGCTGGCTACCCCAGATCCTGCCCCAAAGGGATTGTGGGCTCTGCTCTTGGGAAGCTCCTGGTCTGATGGGGGACACACAGCCCTAACCCCCACCCCAAAACTCAACTGGGGGCCAGGTGTGGTGGCTCATGCCTCTAATCCCAGCACTTTGGGAGGCTGAGGAGGGAGGATCACCTGAGGTCAGGAGTTCAAGACCAGACTGGCCAACATGGTGAAACCCCATCTCTCCTAAAAATACAAAAATTAGCCGGGCATGGTGGTGCACACCTGTAATCCCAGCTACTCAGGAGGCTGAGGCAGGAGAATTGCTTGAAACCAGGAGGTGGAGGTTGCAGTGAGCCAAGATCACACCATTGCACTCTAGCCTGGGTGACAAGAGTTCTCTCTCGAGTGCATGCGTGAAACTCACTCTCTCTCTCTCTTCTCCGTCTCTCTCTCTCTCTCTCTCTCTCTCTCACACACACACACACACACACACACACACACACACACACACAAAATAAATAAATAACTAGGGAAGATGGGATCTTTGAGGTGACCTGGAGGGGAGGGCTTGGAGGTGGTGGAGGGGACAAGAGGGGAGAGATCCCAAAAGGGGCTTGAGGCAGCAGCTATCAATGGCTGTGGGTAGAGTGAGATCCGGGGGGAGGCAGCTGACTGGCCTCTTGACCGTTTCTCAGGATGCGAGGCTCTCTACGGCACAGGACCCGGAGCCAGTGGCCTGGGTTCAGTGGGTCAGGCCCAGGGGCTGCAGGAGCAGGGCCGAGGCTCCCTGCAGGATGCCTGCCAGACACTGGCCCTCCACTGGGCGCTGCTGCTGTGGAAGAGGTGGCTTTTCCGGTGCCAGTGGGCCAAGTAGGTGTCCCTGAGCTTGTGACCTGGGTTGGGCCTGGGGGCGGTGGGGTGGGCACGTGAGCAGTGCTCAGCACCGGGAGGAAAATGGAGGAATGTCCTATAGGCCACGAGCTGCATCCCACTCCTCCCCGGGGCCCTGCATGGGACCTGGCACACTGTGGTGTCCAGCCAATACCAGGCCCTGGGAGGTGGCCTAGGGACACTGAATTGAGCAGAGGGCTGCAGGGGCTGCCTGGGATGCAGACACAGAGCTCTACAGGGGTGGCTGGAACCCGAATGAATGCCCATAACCCCGGGTGTGAGGAGTTACAGCAAGGGGAACTCTGCTGTACACCACCTCTAAGAGAAGAGAGTGAAATCTTCACTTAACTAAAGATGTTCTGGTGGAACACGCACACACGGTTCATGAGTGCATGCTGTAAAACCAAGCAGAGGGGCGCAGAATGGCTCCTCCCACAGTTTAGTACAAATGTGTGAATGTTCAGTGTCCCCATAGGGGCAGTGAACTGTTGCCTACAGAATGGCTGACGTCTGTGCTTTTGCATCTGAGGGTGTAGATGGTTTTTTTCCTGGCTTCTTAGTGAATGGGAGATCGAGTTCTTCCTCCTCACCAACCACCTGGGAGTATGAGGGGAGGCAGGGCATGGCTGGTGTGGGACTTGAACCCATACTGCTGGCTCCCATGCCCAGGCAGGGCAGCCCCTGTGCTCTGAGGCTGAGGTTCTAAGATGGAAAGCCGGTACTTTGCCATTACTGGTCATTCACTGCTTTACGGGAGATTTGCCGGCGTAACTTTGAATAATGTGACTTTTGACTCTGAAAGCCAGACAAGCCCTCCCATACATCTGGTTTTTTTGTTTGCTTGTTTGTTTTTTGAGCTGGAGTTTCACTCTGGTCACCCAGGCTGGAGTGCAGTGGCATGATATTGGCTTACTGCAACCTCTGTCTCCTGGGTTCAAGTAATTCTCCTGCCTCAGCCTCCCAAGTAGCCGGGATTACAGGTGCCCACCACCACGACTGGCTAATTTTTGTATTTTAAGTAAGGGATGGGATTTCACCATGCTGGTCAGGCTGGTCTCGAACTCCTGACCTCAGGTGATCCACTTGCTGCAGGCTCCCAGAGTGCTGGGATTACAGGCGTGAGCCACTGTGCTCAGCCCCATGTGTCTGTTTTGCAGCTACTTTCAGGCCAGATGTGAGGTTGTAAGAGACACAGGGGTGCGCAGGGCCCAGCATCAAGCCTTCCAGGATGGCCTGAGAAGAAGAGCACTGACTGGGTTTGCCAAATGGTGGGAAGCCCAGGCAGCTGTAGCTGGGGCACAGGAGCAGCACAAGGCACAGGAGCAACATGGGGCACAGGCTTCCCTTGCCCACTGGAGAAACTGCTTGCAGCAAGGCCAGGAATACGGGCAGCTGAAGAAGGGCCAGGTGTCACAAGCCTTCGTAGCAATGCCAGTGGCCCTGGGCATGCACCATGAGGCCCAGCAACAGGCAGGAGGGAGCACTCGGGCCTAGGCGATCTGATGCTAGACTCTGTGGGTGCCTGAGTCCTGTCAGGGCCAGGTCAGCTGAGTCCATGCTTCCTGGAAGCCAGGAGCCTGGTGAGTGCACATGGTCTAAGGGCAGCCCCACTCTGTGCTCCTAGCTCAGGCCTCAAGCCTGTTTTTTGCAGGGATAGAGTGTAATTAGTGCCTGGGTGGCAGGGCTAAGGCTCAAGAGGGTGGTTGGGGGTGACAGGGAGAGGCCGTCCTGGCCATCTAGTCCTGGGTCACATCCTGGCACCGATACTTCCTGTGTGTCCCCTCCTTGGGGCAGTCTCTAATGATCCTGCCTTGAAGTCACCAGCACAGCCAGCCATAAATGCGCTCTTGCCAGGGAAGGGGCTGCAAAGCGGCCCTGGCAGGACTGTCCCCTCTCTGACCCTAAACAGGATGATGCTTGTTCCTTCCTGTGATTTTCTCCTTCCAGGCTGTTCTCCATCCTGTTTACCCAGATTCTCCCTCCAGAAGAGGGAGTGGGAGGTGGGTGGGCCCCGGCTCGGGGCTTGGCCTGGAGGGCCCCTCCCGCAGGGCACGGGGAGGGCTTCCTGCAGAGCTTCCCAGAGACCCGGCTCTGATGGCCCAGGCTGCAGACTCCTCCCTCTCCCGCAGGGTCCTAGAGGCCGCTTTGCAGTTAGCAGCGCGCATTGGTGTCCAAGAGCGATCTTCACCCAGCTCCGGCAGGCCGGGCTCAGGGGCTTCCTGCGGACGGCGCAGCTCAGGGTGTGGCTGGGATTGCGGGTTGAGGCCCCAGGGACCGGTAAGGTCAGCCCAGGCCCAGGCTGACCTCACGCTCTGGCCCCGGATGGCCAGCAGGGGGCGCCTGCTGCTGGATGCTCCAGCCCCTTGGAAGGAGGTGAGGGGAGACCAGGCGGGGCGGAAGGTCTAAAAACGATCCTCGGACTACTGGTCTTAGAATCGGCTCAGATTGAGCCCACGGTGGCAGCGTGGTTGGATGCCTCCCCAGGGCCCCAGCAGCCTCGTACGTACCTCCTCTCCCCAGTTCTCGGGCAGCCTCTGACAAGCAACTCTGAATCCAGTAGCAAAGATGAACCCAGCACCTCCTGAGCGCCAGCCCACTGCAGTTCTGACCAGCGTGTTGGGTCACAGCCTGTTAGGTGGACACTGAAATGCACGTTTCTCAAGGTGCAGTCGAGGATCAGGATAGGCACACAAAGATGGTCGCAAGTTTTTTTGTTTATTTTTGAGACAAAGTCTGGCTCAGTTGACCAGGCTGAAGCAGTGGCTCACTGAATCTTGGCTCACTGCAACCTCTGCCTCGTGGGTTCAAGCAATTCTCCCGCCTCAGCCTCCTGAATAGCTGGCACTACAGGTGTGCACCACCATGCCTGGCTAATTTTTATATTTTTAGTAGATGGGGTTTCACCATGTTGTCCAAGCTGGTCTCAAACTCCTGACCTCAAGTGATCTTCCCACCTCGACCTCCCAAAGTGCTGAGATTACAGGTGTGAGCCACTGCACCTGGCCAAGTTTTTGTTTTTCTTATTAGAAAAGTGAAATATGCTCATTACAGAAAAATCAGAAAATATAAAGTAGAAAAATATCAAAATATCAAAATTTCTTTCCTAATTCTCTCTACCCAAAGGCATCCATCAGTCCCTCTCTAGACCAGAAGGAATTAGTTCGGACACCAACAAATGGTTATAAAAGGTTGATGGCCTAGCAAGAAGGAAGAAGCCTCCACAAAAGCCAAGCACAAAAAAATGACCCTGCACAGAAGTCTGGGGACATGTCCTTGAAGGACACAGCCCAGAGATACTGGCAGGCAAGGTAGTGTCCCTCAGATCATCATGAATCCTATTTCAGAATGCCACAAAGAATACATTTTAGAAAAGATTCCAAGAAAAAAAGCTAAAGTGATTTTTTTTTTTTTGGTCATTTTTTGTTTTCAGACAGTGTCTCTCACTGTCTCCAAGGCCAGAGTGCAGCGGTGCAATCACAGCTCACTGCAGCCTCAACCTCCAGGGCTCAAGGGATCCTTCCACCTCAGCCTCCTGAGTAGCTGAGACTACAGGGGTCTGCCACCACACCCAGCTAATTTTTTTTTGTAGAAGTGGGGTCTCACTATGTTGCTGAGGCTGGTCTTGAACTCCTGGGCTCAAGCAATCTGCCCATCCTTACCTTCCCAAGTGTTGGGCAGGCCCATACCGCCATGAGCCACCATGCTTGCTTTTTTTTTTTTTTTTTTTTTTTTTTTGAGATGGAGTTTCACTCTTGTTACCCAGGCTGGAGTGCAATGGCACAATCTCTGCCTCCTGGGTTCAAGCAATTCTCCTGCCTCAGCCTCCTGAGTAGCTGGGATTACAGACACACGCCACCATGCCCAGCTAATTTTTGTATTTTTAGTAGAGATGGGGTTTCACCATGTTAACCAGGATGGTCTCGATCTCTTGACCTTGTGATCCACCCGCCTTGGCCTTCCAAAGTGCTGGGATTATAGGCGTGAGCCATCGCGCCTGGCCCTGGTTTCTGTTTTTTAAGTGGAATTGAAAGGGAGTAGCCTTGGCTAGTTGCAGAATTCACACATGCAGCAAAGGCAACAGCAGATTCTGGGCTCTCAGGGTATTTTCTTTCTAGATAAGTTACAGGGCAAATGCTTTTCCGAGTACTTTTATTCCATTCTTGTCAGTAAAGACAAGAATCTCACATATTGATGGAGAAACTGAGGCTTCTAAAAACTAAATGCTGAGAATGGCACCTGGGGTGCTTAATTCCAGGACCCCTCTTTTCTGCCACAGGCACACATGCCCCAACAGCCCCCTTGGAGAGCCCCTTCTCTGTACAGAGTACTAGCTGGGGGCTCTGGACCACTTCTGAGGGGTAAGGCCTCAGATAAGTAACTCAGCTTCAAACAGTCTTAAGTGAGGAGAGAAACACTCACTTCCCAGGGCTGTATTCCAGGTACCAACGGGCAGCTATTATGGTCCCACCCCACTGTTTAATGTCTTCAGCCACATGGGGGAGTGGGTGGAATAAAAGGCAGGATGTGTCCTGCCAGCCAGAGCAGCAAAGAAATCCCAGCGGGGCCCCAGGAAGTCCAAGCCCATGGGGTTCAGGTGTTGCTCTCTGGCTGTTCCTTCAGACCCGCAGCTGCTGGACGCAGGCCACAGAGCCAGTGCTGCCTGGGCCATAACTGCACTGCAGCCTGGGTGGACAGAGGAAGCCAAGAACGGCCTGGGCCTTAAGGAGACCTTGTCTCTGGGGACAAACCATGTCTGAAGTACAGGGGTGAAGCAGTGGGATGGGCAGTGTCTGAAGCGCAGGGGGTAAAGTGGTGGGATGGATGGTGCCTGAAGCACAGGGACAAAGTGGTTGGTCTCCATTCCTCAAGGGCCTGGAAATCAGCTCCTTGGGACACAGCCTTACATGTATTGACTGTTTTCCTCATCCATTCCCTCTCGGGAATGTTTCAGCTGTTCTGAGAAAACACTTCACATTCCTGCCCCGCCCCCATGATTTCCCTTTGGACAGCAGCCCAGAGCAGCTGGAGGCCTGGGGAGATCCGGGGCAGGGCACGAGGCTGAGCTCAGCGCCTCCTCCGCCCTTCACACTGTACTCAACTCCCAGGCTGGCACTGAGGGCAGCTGCCTTCCTGGACCCACAGTAACCTCTTTCGACTCAACTCTGGCTGCAGTGGCCTGGACAGAATAGCTCAGTCCCAGAACTGCCCCCGTGGACGAGGGACCAGGGACTAAGACGGCACCCCAGCCCTGAGCCCCACCCCCTCAAAGCCCAAGGCGAGGCCCATAAAAGAAGGCTGGGGTGAGAGGAGCTGTGTGTGTGCAGTTTGGGGGGTCCGAGGGTTGGGGGCAGGGGCCAAGGGGCTTGCCTGAGCCAGGGCTGGAGCTGGACCCTCTGGCCAGTGCTCATTTCTGCAGGATCCTGGAGGAGCGGCCCAGGTCCAGGGCTCTGCCCTTCTGGCCCTGAAGGGTCACGATGCTCTTGGCTTTCAGGAGGAAGTATCTGAGGCACTGGTACCTTGAGGCACTGCTTTGTGGGCTGCAGGGTTCCCAGCAGGTCAGGTGCCTGACAGTGGGATGGCAGCACTGGGTAGATGCCCAGGGGGCAGAGCAACTGACACGGACCCTGGTGAGCAGGTGCAGCCCCTCTCCACACTTACCATCTCCCGTTTCACCTCATACTCAGCCCTAAACCCTAGAGACAGTCTCTCAAAGTATGGCCTTTGACCTACTGACTCCGAAACCCTGGGGGACAGGCCCCAGAATCTGCATTGTGAATAGTCCTCAGATGATACCCCCTTGTCACAGCCTTTTACTCTGGGACCACAGAGGTGCAGGAGGAGAAAGGCAGAAGGGCTAGGGACTGTGGGGGAGCATGGGCACAAGAGGTCTTCTCTACCAACTATCCCCACAGCTCAGGGAGTGGCACCTGAGATGGGCCTGGTGGACATGACAGCAGCGGATACTGTGACTGGGAGTGGCTTAGCGGTTACAGTGGCAAGAAGATGGCTGGGTCCTTTCCCAGGTACTGCCTTCTTCACTCCACCCAGCCAGCCCTCCCAAAGGCCTGTGCCACCAACGCATGTCTCCCTGTTTGCCAGCCCCAGGGCCCCTTCATTTTCAGGGGGAGGGGTCAGTTCCATTACAGAACACACAGGCTGAATGCTGTAGCCCTTGATTTGACTTGTGGCCCCAGCTCAGGCCAGCCTCACCCGGTCCCTCAGTTTGGGAAGAAGGCTTGGCATGAGGCATAGCTGCCACCCACACTGGGTCCTGAGTGCCCCTCCCTCATTTGTTCCACTCTGAGCACAGCTTCCCATGTCACAATCAGATCTATTCTGAGCTTGTGCATTTGGCCTGGGCAAGACTGCCTGGCTGCTTGAGGAAGAGGGAGGGGCCCTGGGGACAAAAGGAGCTGGGCACAGGGGATGCTCTAACAGGCAGAGCACAGATCCTGGAGGGAACCCACAACAGCAGCACTTCCTCCCCTCCCCACTTCCAGGCCTTTGAGAAGTGGCACCAGCACCTGGCAGCCAGGAGCCCAAGGAGGGGACATGCCAGCAGCCCGAGACCCTGGAGCAAGCCAGGTCATAACGCCCTGAGAGCAGACAGGAAGCCGCCGGAGTCCCGTGGGGTTGGGGGCTTGGGCAGAGCACAGGGCCCAGCTGCAGCTGTTACTTGTTCCCATAGAATAAAAAGCAGAGGCATAATAAAAAGCACCCAGCCTTCTCTCTCTCCTAGCGGCTGCCCCTCTGCCCCAGGCAGTGAGGCCAAGAAGGGAGTCCCCCAACTGTGCCCACCCCCTCTGCCATCAGGCTGCTCTGGACCACCCCACTCCACTGGGCATGCTGGGATCCAAGACAGGGAACAGCCCATCTGCACCTGGCAGTCACTGCCCGCGGGCCATGGGGCTTGCAGGACTCCTGGGGAGCCGTGCCAGGCAGACAGCCTCTGGGACAGGACGAGGGGATGGCAAGGGCAGCTGGCAGGAAGAGGGCTTACCTGAAAAATAAGCCAGGAAGCCGGGCTGCTGCACAGCCCCAGGCAGATCTGGGGCCCCTGTGCTGGAGAATCTCATCCTGGCCTTTGATAGCAAACAGGGCAGCATTAGGCCTCCACAGCCAGGGAGAACAGGAAGGCCACGGCCCCCACCGAGCACAAGGTTGACTGCCTTCAACCCTTAAGGGGTACTTTTTCTCTCAAGGCTCAGAATAGACAACTGTGCCAAAAAGCAGCATGGTAGGAACGAGAGGAACCCAGCTGAGCTCTTAGAATGCAGCAAGAAATGCCTACATCATTAGGTGTCAGCCCAACACCCATCCAGGGGGCTGGTGCCAGAGACGGCTAAGCAGGCAGGCAGGGCAGTGGTGTGCCCCTTCAGTCACAAGTAGGTGGGGCCCAGCTGCCCACCTCTAGGAGGTTGAAGCATGCAGCCCTTTGCCACATCTTCTCTACTATGCTCCCAACACCTGGTGCCCGTGTATGTTTTGCCTGCACTGCGCCACCCCACGTAAGTTCACTGGGAGTCCCAGGCTGGCTCTGGAGGCTGCCTTGGTTTGAGGGCTTGGCTGGCAACAACCATTCTCCTCCCCTTCTCAGGGGGTGCCACCCACTGTGGTCCTCTGCAGGACAGAAGTGTTCCCATCCAAAGAACACAGACTCCCAACTAGAGCAGGGAATACCAGGGTCCCATGTGAGGCCGACTCTGGTCCAGCCAGATCCTGGAAGCCTCACTCCAGTCCAGCTGCGCTCGTCAGGTGGGGGAGTGGAGGCCAGGTGTTGGGAGACATGCAGGGAAGTGGGTTCCCAAGAGAAGCAGCCCTGTAGAGGAGGCAGGTGGGACAGGAGTGGCTCCAGCGCAGGGCGTCAGGATGCAGGGTCACAGAGTCTCCGCCTCCCTCTCATTCTGGGTGGGCCTGTTGAGAAGCTCCAGTGTGTCTTCCACTACCTGCCACAGGCAGTTGTCCAGTGGGAAGTCATTGTCCACCAGGTTGACCAGGAAGTAGTTGTCGTGGATGTACTGGATGATCGCGCGGGATGGGGACCCCTCCTCATACAGCTTGCCCCACTGCTCGATCCACAGGGCGAAGGCCTCGTCCTACACATATGTACCGCACACACACACACCCCACGTGCACACGCAGACACACACACACACACACACACACACACACACAGAGGTGAGATTAACAGGGCTGCCTCTGCATAGCCTCCACGCTGGGCTCTCCAAGGACTCAACAGGACATTTCCCGGAATAGAGCAAGGTCCACTGCCAGTATCACTTCCCACCCCTGCCCAGAAATAAACACCATGGGTCAGCAGTAACACGGGTGAGTGAGTCAGAGCTGGGTGTGCCTGAAGGCTGGTTCCACTAGCCCCAAGTGGGGCCTTCAGCACACCTTGGGACTTGGCCCCAATCCCTGCCCCAGGTTTCCCAAGTGGGGAGGACAAACTTGCTCCTGGCTCTTTTACCTTCCAGAACATGAAACTGACAGGATCCACTACGGTGGGCTGGATGATCTCTCGCCCAGGAAAGATGCCCCAAGTGACCGCGTTCGGCTGTAGCTCAGGGGCGTTGGTGATGTTTTCACCCTGAGGGCATGTGGGGTGGGGGTAAGACCCGGGCCAAGGACAACTGGAGTCCCACTGCTTGGACAGTCTTGAGTCACTGGGGCCATCTGTGCCTCCACTCCTGGCCTCTACTCTCCTTGTGCCTCTACTCCCAGCCTCCACTCTCCCTGTGCCTCCACTCCCAGCCTCCTCTACCTGCATCTGTGAATGGCATCTCTCCCCACACAAGCCTGGACCTAGAGGCCATCCTGGCTGTATCCCCTCTCCTCCCTGAGCACCCCCTGCTCACTGTCTGATCCATTCCCTTTTGTCTAGCCCACTGCTAGGACTGTATTTGGCTTGGGTCACTACAGGGGCCTCTTCTCCAGCCTTCCTGGCTCTGTCCTTCCCCAGTTCCTATCACCTGTCTGCCTGTCCACTGTGATTTGCCTAAAATAAAGCAGGAACCAACCCCACTGCTAGAGAAAGCTCCCCTTGCATTTAGGGAAAACTCAAATTCCAAGCAGGACACCATGACCTCTGCAGGCCCGGCCCCTGCGTAACACTCCAGCCTCTTCGGGGCCTTGTTCCCAGTTTCCCAGAAACCCCAGAGCTCACTGCCCCTGCCTGTCCTCTGCCCTGTCCCAGGAATACCCTTCTTTCCTGTTGCCCGACTCCTCTTTTTCCTTAGCAATTCCCACACATGACCCCTCCGAGAAGCCTGGCCTGGCCTCCCAGGTGAGATATCCCTCCTCTGGATCCAACAGCATCCCCTCCTGAACTTGACGGTCCCACTCACACTGGCTGGTGCTCACACAGTGATCTGCCTCCCTCACTAGGCTGGGAGCTCCTTAAGAGCAGGGCCCGGTTCTGCCTGTGTCAGTCTTGCACGACGCCTAGCCCAGGCTAGGTGCTGGGTGTTTGCTGAATGAAGAGCCTGGTGCTCTGTGGGAAACCCGGGGCCTGACCTACCTTCACATTGACAAGGTGGTAATTAACCCGGAGCTCGTACTTCTTCAGCACCTGTAGAAGCGCTTCCGCTGTCTCACGGGAAGTGAAGAACTCTAAGTAGGCCTGTGGGGGCGACAGGTGCCTGTCACCAACCCCACCCCTGCCAGATGCCCTTTTGCAGACACCTAAGGTATCAGGACTAGTGGTGGCCATGTGGGCAGAATAATGAACCGTGGCGTCATTATTAACAGGTACATAGGCAAAGGGTGAGGTGAGTGGGGAGGTGAGTTTCTCAGTCTGGACAGGTCTCAGGGCTATCGGCCACCCCTCTCCCAATCAGGCAGGGAAGGTTCCATGGAGAAGCCATTTCTGAACAGCGGCAAATGGTGTGACAAGTTGAGTCATGGGAGAGAAGCCTGACACATTCCATCCTCCCCAATCACTGCAAGGTGACAAGGACATGGAGGTCCTCTCTAGGACCAGTGTCTATCAGGAATTGAGCTGGGTTTCCTCCAACTCATTTGCTAGAATGCTCCTAATACTGGAGGCTGGGCACAGCAATCCCAGACGAAAAGTGGGTTGGGGGAAGCTGAGCACGTTGGTTACTCTGACAGGAAACAGCAGAGCTGGTCCTTCAACTCAGGGCTTTCTGACTCCAGAGCCCACGGGCCTTGGTTCAGAACATAATTTTTTAACTCCAGCAGCCCTGGGAGAAAGGTGTCAGCTCAGGACAGTAGCAGCAGCTGCCTTTCAGGGAGTGCTTCCTGCTCTTCCCATGTGCCAAGTACTTTATATGCTTTGTTAGGTTTCACGCCCAGAACACGAGCTACATCCCATTTTACAGACAAGAAAATCAGGCTCAGAGAGGTTGGGTGACCTGCCTCCACAGGTCTGATTTTTTTTTTTTTTTTTTTTTTTTGAGACAAGATCTCACTTTGTGGGCAAGGCTGGAGTGCAGTGGTGGAAATCTGGCTTACTGCAGCCTCCACCTCTCGGGCTCAAGCGATCTTCTCACTCAGCCCAGGCACCTGGGACTACAGGCATGTACCACCATGCCCAGTACTTTTTGTAGAGATGTATTTTGTTGAGGGCATTTTTTGTTTCACTATATTGCCTAGGCTGGTCTCGAACTCCTAGGCTCAAGTGATCCACTCACCTTGGCTTCCAAAGTACTGGCCAGGCATGGAGCCCGGCCAGGTCTATCTGACTTAAAGTATCAGCTCCCATCTGGTCTGGTCCAGCTCATTCAAAATTAAGAGCCCAAGAGAGACAGGCTGCTCTGCCCTAAGCTCTGAGAAACCCCTGGGCGCTGGTCAAGTGGGGGCACCCCTCTGCCTCCCTACCACACCTTCTGGAAGACATAGCCCCCGCTGGGGCCCCAGCCCACGATGGGGTCGGAGGACGGCTTCCCGTTGATGTTGGGCTGCGAGTTGATGGTGAGGACGCCCTGCCGGTTCACCCGCAGCAGCTCCTCCTTCAGCAGGCTGGTCTCGGCCGCCAGTGGCTCATCGTTCCAGGGCAGGCAAGTCACCTGGGAGAGAGGGTCAGCAGGCCGAGGTGATGATCACGTTTGGTACCTTGAGTCCTTCTCATGGCCCCCGACAAAGACCCAGCCTGTCTTTGCCTCCTAAGCCCTTCCAGGTTGGGGACCCTCAACTCACCCTTCTCCCTTTGCCGAGGTGCCATCCACAGCATGGAGAGGAGGGCACAGGGTGGGGGAGTCACAGCCCTGGAACCTGGCCTGCAGCTGGGGTTGGGCCAGGGGTGGGGATGAACCAGGGACCCCACCCCAGCATCACTCACTTTGTGGCCATTCCGGTTTGGCTCTCCAGAGAGGTAGTGTACAAAGACTTCGAAGACGCTTTCTTCACTGGGCAGCTCCTCCCCCCACATCTTCAGCAGCTCCTCCCTGGGAGACTTGCTCTTCAGGTAGAAGAGGTAGTAGTTCTTCAGCTCCCCAAAGGCAGGGGAGGAGGAATTGCCCCTGGCAGAAGGGTGCCCAGAGGTCACGGCACACGCCTGACCTGGGGCTCATGACAGAAGGCAGTGCCACCACATGCCCAGGAGGCCATTCCTGTAAATCCTGCCCCGACTCCTACCAAGTCAACCACAAGCATGCAAACTCCTTCTGCCCTCCTCTTCCCAAGAACGAAGACGTATTTACAAGGAAGGTCTGCAGGCCCTCACCAGCGGCCGTTGGGGAACTCATCCCATTCCTGGGTGCGGTAGATATAACTCTTTGGTCTGGAGGCCCAGAAGATGGGACGTACATCTTCCTCTCGGCGCTTGGGGTGGGCGCTGAGAGCCCAGGGCAGGGGACGCCTGGGTGAGGATGGAGACAGAGAATTGAGACAAGGGATTGGCTAGAGGGAGCTGGAAGCAGGGGAGGACCAGGGAGGCTGGGTTCCTCCCTCTCACGCCCTCTGAGACTGGCGCCCTCAGTGTGCCTGGCTAACCATGGCACAGACACCCATCTGTACCACCATGGGGAGCCAACACCGTAGCTGGGACTGCTCTTGGACCCCCCTCTGGGGATCGCTGGGCCACCATCCTCACCTGGGGTCCTCAGTCCACAGGCCCAGGCGCTTCAGCACCTCTGTGGTGGCCACCTCGCGGTTGAGGGTGTAGAAGTGGAGGCCTGGCACCAAGCTGCTGGCCAGAAGCTCCCGGCACAGGCTCACGGCCAGCTCGATGCCATAGTTGCGAATGGCAGCATCATTGTCTTTGATGGGCTCGATCACGTCCTTAATTTCCTGTGGCAACTCCAGCTTGGACAGCTTCACAAGCTGCCTAAGGGAGTGGTAGCCCTGTCCAAGACATGAGGGGCTGTGGCGGCTGTCGGCCAGCCCACCTCCCACCCTAAATACTTCTCCCCCTTCCATCCTCCATGCCAACCACAGTGTCAGGCAGAGAGACCCAGGAAATCTGATCATATTCCAGGAGCACACCTGGGCTTGGCCTGCTGTTTTCTCCCCCTTTCTCTTTTTTTAGAGACATGTCTCACTGCTTTCAAATGCCTGGGCTCAAGCCATCCTCCCGCCTCAGCCTCTCAAGTAGCTGGGACTATAGGCACATGCCACTAAGCCCAGCCTTCCCACTTTTCACAGAGTACAGCAGCTTCCCTAAGCATTCCAGCCTTGGGCTGAGCCAGCCTTTTAGCTCTAGATGTCTCTATTGATAACATGCTGTCATCTAACCCAGTTGTTCCCATGCTGCACTGATCATCAGAATCACCTGCCAAACTCAAGAAGTAAAACACAAATTCCCAGGACCTCCCTCAGATTTTCTGGAAGTTCCTCAGAACTTCCAGGGGTGGGACATGGAGATCCATTTTTTGAAAAAACTTATCAAGTGGTTCTGATGACAGCCACATTTGGGAAACGCCGATTTAACCAGGATTTGCAATGAGAGTTAGAATCCCTGGCTGGGTGCAGTGGCTCACACCCGTAGTCCCAACACTTTGGGAGGCCGAGGCGGGTGGATCACAAGGTCAGGAGTTTGAGACCAACCTGGCCAACATGGTGAAACCCCGCCTCTACTAAAAACAAAAAAATTAGCCGGGCACAGTGGCGGGCACCTGTAATCCCAGCTACTTGGGAAGCTGAGGCAGGAGAATTGCTTGAACCTGGAAGGCAGAGGTTGCAGTGAGCTGAGATCGCATCGTGCCACTGCACTCCAGCCTGGGCTACAGAGTGAGACTCCATCTCAAAACAAACAAACAAAACAAAGAGAGTTAGAATCCCTTTTGGTGACGCTTATCAGCCAAAGTACAACAAATCTCTCAAAAGACACTGTTGCTGGGATTTGGGGGGAAAATTAGAAGTAACCGAAACGGGGTAGCCAAGCAATGCTGTGCAAGTGCTGGACCTGACAGGAGATCCGGGAAGAACTCAGCGAACTCAGCACTCCACCCAGAGCCCCCAGCCTGTGCGAGGACGGCGCGGCGGGAGTGGGGTGGAGGGGGCTGATGAGCCCTCCTGGGCCCCTCACCTGGATGGGAAAGATCCCAGGGAGGATAGGGCAAGTGATGCCTATGTCAGTGCACGCCTTCACAAAGTGGAAGAATGTGTCAGCCTCAAAGAAAAGCTGCGTGATGACGAAATCGGCTCCGGCAGACACCTTCTCCTTCAAGTGCTTCACGTCAGCCTCAAAGCTCTCTGCATCAGGGTGGCCTTTGGGGTACCCTGCCAATAGGGGTGACAGTTGGGTGAGGCTGGCCTCCACCTGTTCAAGGCGAGGGATGGAGAGGTCAGAGGGACTAAGCAGAGAGTCCTCTGCTTTGGGTGCTCCAATCTTACACCTTCCAACAGCACAGCATGGCTTCAACTAAAACAGTGGGTGGCTGGGCTCATAACTGATATGCTTCCAACCCTGGAGATGACTCTTGGGGGCAGTGGCTCAGAGCCCCCTTTCCCAGAGTGGGGGTGGATTGCTCCAAACTCCCACACTGTCCTGCCTTGAGCAGCCAAGCAATTCAGGCCTGCACTTGGTGGCCATGGAAAAGAGAAAATGCTACAGTTAGCACTGGTGGACAGCATCTGCTAAGCTTCACTTTTCTCTACGCACTGGATTAAAACATTGGTTTTAATATAACATTAAAACTCAGGGGTCCAAGATAGTGAAAAGCTAGAAACCAAGTCATATAAGGAAGAACTGAAGAAAGTGATGTTTTGTTCAAATAAAAGAGTGGATGGCCAGGTACGGTGGCTCACACCTGTAATCTCAGCACTTTGGGGGGCCAAGGCGGGAAAATGACCTGAGGTCAGAAGTTCAAGACCAGCCTGGCCAACATGGTGAAACCTGGTCTCTAATAAATGTACAAAAATTAGCCAGGCATAGTGGCAGGCACCTGTAATCTCTCAGCTACTCAGGATGCTGAGGCAGGAGAATTGCTTGAACGCGGGAGGTAGAGGTTACAGTAAGCCAAGATCGCACCATTGCACTCTAGCCTGCGCAAGGAGAGTGAAACTCTGTCTCAAAAAAAAAAAAGAAAAGAATGATAAGAATGCAGACAGTCCTTTCAAATATCCAAAGGTCTGTCCTGGGGAGAAAGAAAAGATCCACCATAGGTGAGTTTTTTTGTTTGTTTTTTCAGAGACAGAGTGCTCTGTCGCCCAGGCTAGAGTGCAGTGGTACGATCACAGCTCACGGCAGCCTTAACTCCTGAGCACAAGTGATCGTCCCACTTCAGCCTCCTGAGTAGCTAGGACTACAGATACATGCTACCACATCCAGCTAATTAAAATTTTCAAAAATTAATTATTTATGTTTTAAAAGATGGGGTCTTGCCATCTGGCCCAGGCTTTTCTGGAACTTCTGGGATCCAGCAATCCTTCCACCTGGGCCTCCCAAAGTGCTGAGATTACAGACATGAGCCACTGCACCCAGCCCCCAGTCCGGTTCTTTATTAGTCATATTCTGTGTTGCTTCTGATGGCAGAACCAGCATCTGGTTCAGAGAGCTGTCTAGAGTACAAGCCACCGACAAAACAATGAGCTCCTGGAGCCTGAAAACACGGGGGCAGTGGCTCCCCATGTGCTGGGGAGGCTGAGGACAGGATTCCGGAATTGCCTGGGAGGTGGGACCAGATGTCCTGTAGGCTCCTTACTGGCTCTGTGAACTCTGACAGCTTCCCTAAATGACTAAACTTACTGGTACCCTTGCTTGGTCAGGGGCAAGGAAGAAGACCATAGGCCTTCCTGAAACTACACGGAGAGGGTTGTTTTCACCAGCCCAAGTCCAGGGCAGAACCCTGAGCCAGGCGGGAAGCCAAGCTGCTTTGCTCTGATAAGGCAGTTCTGAAAAAAAAAGAGTCATCAAAACTCCGAAACCCAGAGGCAACAAAAATGAATATATGAACTATTGTTTCAAGGGGTAAGGGAGTGGGTGATAAAGCACCTGGGCTCACGCTGTCAATAACAAAGCTGTTTTTCCAGTAGGAGTGTCAGAAACAACAAGGCTTTTTAACAGCTGAAACTATGGCTGTACTACCAAACTATCACCGAACAAATCTAGCATTTGATTACATATAGATTTTGCTATTTATTATGTTTTTCTATCATGAACAGCTGGGTGCTTTCTTTTAAAAAAATTTTTTTTAAGTTTTTGTAAAGATGGGGTCTCACTCTGTTGCCCAGGCTGGTCTTGATCTCCTGGCCTCAAGCAATCCCCCTGCCTCAGTCTCCCAAAGCCCTGGGATCACAGGCATGAGTTACCATGCCCAACAGGCTGGTGTGTTCTAATCCACTGATCTTCATTACCCACTTTATAAGCAAAGCACGAAAGCAATCAGCAACTGTAAGCTCACAGCTTTGCTAGTTTCCAATCAGGATCGGCTAACACCCATCACTGGTGCACATTCCCCGCTAACTGACTGTATTACGGCTGATACAACTGATGACAACTGAACAGTAAGACATGCCTGTTCTCTGACTCTGTATCAGTGCTTCCCAGACTTAGCACATAAACAGCCCTGTTGACACAAGAATGGACATGTCCATGGGGGGTTAGGGACAAGGCCAAAGTCACCCACAACAAGTTAATTTTCTTGAAGCCAAGTGGTTTTTTTTTTTAATTCACCTCACTTGAGATGCTACTCCATAATGCAGCCATGTTTAACATAAAAATGGTAGGATTTCTCCCAAAATATTGGCGAAACACTGTCATTCCAGAAGATGTGCCAATCCCGGGACTTCCTGTCCCTGGTGCACACTGCCTGCCTCACCATACCTGGGCCCCATCTGAGACGCTGAGGGCTCAGTCCCAGCCTTCAGCTTCAAGGATGGGAGGGAAGTCCAACCCACCCATTTCGGTCAGTGAACCTGGCCTTGTGGCTGTGGCCAATGGAACCAGAGTGGAGCCCATGAATTCCCTCTCTTGGGAATTTAGAACGGATGCCCATCCATTAGCCTGGGGGACTGGCTGGAACGGATACTGTACACTCAGGAGCAGGCCAGCTGTGCGGAAAAGCATGGGCATCAGGTCTCCCAGACGAAGCACAGATGTGTAATGGGAAGTGGAGATGAGGGACCCTGTGGTCCCCAGGGGAATGAGGGGGGCCTTGCTTTCTGACCTCTTCCAGTGCCTTGTGAGGTCTGGGGCCATTTCCTGACCTTGGGTTCCCTGCCCTCTGGAGTCCTGTTAGTAAATATTCCTCTTTTGTGGATTTCTTTTCTTTTCTTTGAGATGGAGTCTTGCTCTGTCACTGAGGTTGGAGTTCAGTGGCATGATCTCCATATACGGCAACCTCCGCCTCCTGGGTCCAAGAGATTCTCCTGCCTCAGCCTCCCGAGTAGCTGGGACTACAAGTGTGCACCACCAGGCCCAGCTAACTTTTGTATTTTTAGTAGAGATGGGGTTTTGCCATGTTGGCCCGGCAGGTCTCAAACTTCTGACCTCAGGTGATCTGCCTGCCTTCGCCTCCCATAGTGCTGGGATTACAGGAATGAGTCACTGCACCCAGCCCCCTCTTTTGTTTTAAAGAAAAGAACAGGGCTGAGAAGCAGGCTATGGGCACAGCCAGGCAGAGGAACAAAAAAAAATCGATCGGTGGTGGCAGGCCCAGGAGGGGGGTGGGTGATACAAGGGCAAGGACATGGTGCATTTCCCTCTGCATGTCCCTCATCAGGCATGGCCCTGTAGGTGCACCTGAACTGAACACTGACAGGCTCTCTGGGCATCTCAGCCTCCCTCATTCCATCCCCGTACCAGGATGATCCAGCCACTCACCTGCCACACAGATGTCAAAGTAGTCACCAAACTCACTTCGGATGTGCTTCACCAGGTCCACCGCGTGGTTGAAGCCTCCCTCCTCCTCTTCCCACTGGTCACCTGTGGGGTCTGCAGGGTTGGTGGAGGTCATGGTCACTGGGTCTCAACAGAGAGCCTTTCTGTTCCCTCTACCTAGCCCCGGCACCCAGGACTGTGAGTCCCCGGAAGGCAGAAACTTCCTATTATTTAAGTTGGTCTCTTCTCTTTCTAGCACTTGGTAGACAGCAGGAGGGAAGACAGCGGCCCACCACTGCAATATTCCCTGCGCACTGACCTGTGCAGGTGGAGAACAGGAGACCACCGCTGCTCCTCGCTGTGCCTGGAAGATTGGAGAGCCCTTCCCTACTTCCACCTGGGCATGCTTGTTACCCTCTCCCATCCCATGGCCTTGGGGCTCCTGCCTCCTGGGAGAATTTTCTACTCATCTCAAGTGAAGGGGTCTTGTGGTGGGAGCCTAAAGCCACAGGCTCCCACCCTTCAGGCTCCCTCTTCCCACTCTTGGGTGGCCTGATGACAGCAGGCACCAGAGGGATAACCAGCTATTCTCACTCCTGGACAAAAGCCAGAATGGCACTCTGCAATTGGGCCAAGCGCTGGGTGCAGCCAGCAATCGATGAAGCTGTGTAGGCAGGGCAGAGGGTTATCAGGCAGTGACTGCATTTGAGACGGAACGGGGTCAAGAGGTGGAAGAGGTGGCTGCTGCTGTATGGTGCCCAGGGTGACTCACTCCCCACGATGCCTACTGACACTACTGGTGGGGATGGGATCCTGTGCATCCTCAGTGGGGGCCCAGGGAGAAGTAAAGGACGTTTCAGGGACCCAAGTGGCTTTTGGGAAAGCCAGAACCCAGTGTGTGGGGCAGTGCTGGTTCCATACCTCCCCGCAGCGCCAAGATGTTCTTCAGGCCCAGCTGCTTGGCTTTGTGCAGATGGCCCGTGATCTCCTCCAGGCGCTGATGGCAGCAGGTCATGTGCAGGATGGTCTCCAGGCCACAGTAGTTCACAGCGGTGCTGGCGATCATCATGGAGGAGGTCTCCTTGTCTGAGCCAGGGTCACCTGCTGGATGCCAGGTCACATCTATGAAGAGGGGGCCGCCTGCCGCCATCCGGTCAAACCTGTAGGGGGTTTGTTTCTGAAGAGAGGTTCCAGGGAATATACCACCCCTCACTGCCTTCCCATGAGGCCCGGGAGTTAGAGAAGCATAAATGAAGGTTGGAGACAGACCAATCAGTGTTCATATTCTGGCTTTGCTACACACAGATGTGTTATCTTGGGTAAATTACTTAATCTCTGTGAGTTCTGTTTCTTTATTTATAAGATGCAGCAGATAACAGCACCCACTTCATAATAACACTAGGAGGCTAAGCACAGTGGCTTACGCCTGCAGTCCCAGCATAGGCGTGAGCCACTGGGACTACACTTTGGGAGGCCAAGGAGGGCAGATCACTTGAGGTCAGGAGTTCAAGACCAGCCTGGCCAACATGGTGAAATCCCAACTCTACTAAAAATACAAAAAATAGCTGGGTGTGGTGGCGGGCACCTGTAATCACAACTACTTAGGAGGCTGAGGCAGGAGAATCACTCGAATTGGGAGGCAGAGGTTGTAATGAGCCGAAATCACACCACTGTACTCCAGCCTGGGCCACAGAGATCTCAAAAACAAACAAACAAACAAACAAACAAACAAAGCAGCAGTGACAACAAAAACCATGATAACGGTAGGAGAATATGACAGCAGCTAGTTCCACAGCACTTAGAACAGTGCCTGGTGTACAAACACTCAGTAAATGTGAGGTGCTGTTATGATCCCTATTACGGAGGTAAGACACAACAACAGCGCCACCATTTTGTGTGAGAGCAGCACTTCAGACTCTTCCCAGTGCTCGCCTGTTTATTATCTCGGGTGAATTAAGACATCATAGTTGAGAGGGGAATCCTAACTGCGTCAAGCACAGCCTCGCTGTAGGAACAGTTAGAAAGATGGCCAGCAGACTCACGTTTCTTTCATGCCACCGCCCCACCCAGCCCTGTGCAGCAGCTCACAGTTGTGCAGACCAAGGCCAAGTTCTGAAACAAGACTCGAAAGCCTGGATGTCTGTAGTATAAGCTATCGCAGTGTGTTTAAACAGCCTTGTGCATTTAAACTTCAAAATCTCGGGAGTGACACGTGAAAAGTGCAAACAGTAAAAGGCATAAACTTTTAAAAAGGAATTGAAAGTTGTGAAGTGCTAACTTAATTTGGTTGGCATTTCTAGATTTCAAGAAACATAATCCAAATTCCTAACTTGCTGAAAACATGCTCACTGCTTTGTGACTTCCTAAACTGCACTCGTGATCTAGCCCCCAAAGTTCCACCAAAGAATCTAGTTTGAGAATCATTTTTAACCCATTGAAGAATGTGTCTAAAATACCCTTGACACTGTGGAGGGACTTTTACAGGCAATGGAGAAGTTGCAGATCAGATGACCCACTCTGCCTTCTCCTTCCTGCCCCCTCTGGCTGCTTTTCTCTGCCAGGTTAAAGGACAGCCCAGCCTCAGGGCTGACAGTTCACTCCGCAGGCACCACCACCCCTCTATTCCCCCCAACCTTAACCTTGCATCAATTTACCTTGAGATGAGGTTGACAGCTCCCTCAGCAGTTCGAGGAGGGAAGAATTCCAAGGAGAACCACTTGTCACCAGATTCCATGCGCCGCCTCATCTTCTCCCGGAGTCTCTCATGCCGATCAGGGTCCAGGCCCGGGGTGGAACATCTCGAACTGTCTTTGGAGCTCTCGCTGCCACTGCTGGCATTCCCCTCCAAGCAGGGGTTCAGGCTGCCGTTTCCTCTGGCTTCGTTCACCATTGCTGGGTTCCTGCTACACGGGGTGGGGCAGGGAGCATCAGGGGGTGGGCAGGCACACCCCAGGCACATCAAGGTACCTGAGTGCCAGGTTCAAGCAGGAGGTGCTGTATTTCCATACAGGAAGAAGGCCAAAAAAGGTGACACTGCCCCCTCCCAGTGGTTCCATGCTCTGCAGGCTACAGCTGTTGGGGCCGCCTTACTCAAAGCCTTGCTCTCGGCTGCTGCCAGGCTCCTTGCATGCAAGGCAGCCCCCACCCGGCACTACAACATACTCCTCAATGACAGCTACCTGATAGAAGGTGGCACAGAGAACCTCACGCTGCCGGCCTGCGAGGCCCGTATTCCTAGCGAGGGGCAGTAGTGCCCAGCTGGGAGGACCCTGGCTTTTCGATGGTCCATCTCTGCCAGCTCAGGCCCACAGTGAGTGGGGAGGGAACAGAGGCACCTTCCCCAGCGGGTGTGTTCAACTGGGCGGAGCTGTGACAAAGGAAGAAGCTTGAGCTCTGAGCCAGCAAAAGGGGGTGGAGTAAGGCTTCCAGGCAAGAAGGGAGGGCTGCGTTCTAGTAGGGGAAGGCAGGGGGAAGGAGGAGGAAGGAGGGGGAAGGAGGGGCAGAGACTGCAGGGGTTGGTGGAGATGAGGCCAACAGGCGTTCAGGGATACCAGATCACCCTCCCAAGAAGGAACTGCTCGTGCTGGCTGGCTTTGCCTGGAACATCTGTTACTTGAAAAGGTTTGTGTGCAGGATGGAAGGGGTGAGGGCTTGACTATGCAGCCAAATTTCTCCTGAGTTCATGCTACTCCAAAAAGACCATGTCATGGGTTAGAACTGGACACTGGTCGTGTTTCAAAAATAGCCAGACCCCAGTTCAGTTAAGGGCACGAATTTATGTCCAACTCAGAACAAAAGCTGCCCCATCTGTGCTTGCCTGGCAAGCTGGTTTTCTTACACACCACTGAATTAAATTAAAATCACCACAGTGATCCAGTTTCTGGGGAGGCTGAGGCAGAAGGATCACCTGAGCCTAGGAGTTCGATGCCAGCCTGGGCAACATAATGAGACTCATTCTCTTAAAAAACAAAAAAACACACCTGTAAGCCTGGCACTTTGGGAGGCCAAGGCGGGGTGGGGGGAGCGGTCACCTGAGGTCAAGAGTTCGACACCAGCCTGGTCAACATGGTAAAACCCCGACTCTACTAAAAACATAAAAATTAGCCAGGTGTGGTGGTGGGTGCCTGTAATCAGAGCTGCTCAGGAGGCTGAGGCAGGAGAATCGTTTGAACCTGGGAGGCAGAGGTTACAGTGAGCTGAGACTGCGCCACTGCACTCCAGCCTGGGCAACAAGAGCGAAACTCCGTCTCAAAAAAAAAAAAACAGAAACAATCACAGCCGCCAGGGCAGCGAAAGCCAGACCAACAGAGGGCATAGTGCCATCTGGCAGTCTGGTAAAGAAAATAAACACTTCAAAACGTGCACAGCAAGGGGCACACACAGTAGTGAAATCGGTGTGTGGTGACATGGTGTGGCAGAGACGACCAGGTCAGGTTCATTTCTTTCAGACTGTCCACCACTAAGCCCCTGTACCTAACCATTTGGAGTCTTAGACTCTTTTGAGAATCGGATTAAATTCACTGCTCCCCGCCCCTGAAACACACACACACAGGTGCACAGACTACACATGGACACATCCAAAGACAAGGAGTTGATTCCTGACTGAGAACCCTGGGCCAATGCTTTCTTCCCCTAGAGCTTCTCTCTGATTCTGACCTCTAACTCCAGATTCTCAATGGGGATGGCGGTGGGGAGTGAGGAACGCGGATAACAGCGAGAGCAGCCAGTTGGTCTTTCTCCAGCGCTTGAAGGAGTGCCTCATTAACTGCCTGCTGGAACAGAACCTACAGTGGGAGGAGGCTGAACCACCTGCAAAACCTCTGATCTTCAAAGACTTATTGCATTCCTGTACATGCTAGGCACGTGCCACATTTGTAAGCCAACACCCACGATTTATCCGTTTCCAGCTGGACTCCCATAGCACCCTAGGTTGTAACTGCGGGTTAACAGGCCTGTCTCGTCTCTCCCCCTAGTTCCTTGAGACCAGGACCGTGTCCTGCCTGGGGTATCCCCAGGGTTTGGCACACGGTGATAGCCAACATTCACTGAGCGCCAACAGGCCAGGTGCTGCCACTCTCAAAATAAGCCTCTGCCATCCTAGTCTGTGCTAAGCACCCACGACTCCCAGAAGGGTCCTGGCGGAATCCCGGGCGCAGCGGGACGCAGTGGGCGTCAGGGACCGCAGTGCCCTAGGCCCAGCGCTCTTCTCCAGGTACTCGTCGGAGAAACAGGTTTAAAAAGCAGGAGCCAGAAGCCGTCTCGGCGCCCGGGTGGCCGAGAATCGAGTAACCAGGTCACTGGGTCACCAATGGGGGTGGGGACACGGGCTCTGGCCGGTCAGCGAGGCGGGATCGTCACCCCTGGCCCAAGGGCCCCTCCATCCAGGCAGGAGCCAAAGTGAATCTTCGCCTAGGGGTTGGAGGTCACTGATGACACTAGTCAAGCAAAGAGTGCGCGGAGGGGGCGGCCTCCGCAAGAAGAGGGGCGGGCCGGCCTCCAGCGCTCCCCGCCCACAAGCATGTCCCGGCCCCTGAGAGGGTGTTTGCCGGCTCCAGGATCTCCCTCCCGGCTACCCGAGCCTCGCGGTCACTCACCCTCCAGTCCCGGGTGACTCGGAACTCTCGCCCGCCGGCCGCAGCAGGGTGGCCGTTGAGGGGCGGGGAACGCAATGGAGGGGAGCGGCACAGGGGTCGGGTGGCTGGAGAGGCGGGACTACAGGGCGGAAACCACCCTTGCGGGCGACCGGAAGCCCCACCTCCAACATGGCCGCGCCCACGGGTCTCGTTGGAGGCCGTGCCTTTACCGTCATGTGACGCGAGCCCTCGCCCCACCCGTCTGCAGCCACTCCCGGTCTCAGTCTCAGAGCTCGAGAGGGCCACGTGACCGTCCCGGGGCCAGTCACGTGAGGCGCGGATCCTGGGTGGGAGGGGGTTGGCACAGGGGTCCAGAGTGGCAGTAAAGGAGGAAGATGGCGGGGTGCAGGGGGTCTCTGTGCTGCTGCTGCAGGTGGTGCTGCTGCTGCGGTGAGCGTGAGACCCGCACCCCCGAGGAGCTGGTAAGGAGCGGGCGGAGCCGGGCTGGGGAGGGGGCGGTTGCTAAGGGACTGAGAGAGGCGTTGCCGGGGGTGGGGCCGGGACGATTTGGGCCCGCCGGTGGCAGCCGGTGGGGCCTGGGGACTGCAGCCGGGGCTCTCGAAGCGTCTGCCCTGCTTGACGTGCCCAATTCTGGGGTCTTTTCTCATAACCCCTCCTGGAATCTGAGGGAGAATCCAGGTCAGCTCCAGTTAATCCCACCCGTGTTTCTTTTTCTTTCATCTGAAAAGAGTTTTGAAGGAAACAAGCGTTTTCAGAATGAGCTTCTTCACAGGACTTTGTGCTTATCCTGCGGCTGTTTTAGCTTCTCCAGCCCCTTCTCACTATATCCATCACCCTTTCTGGGTCACTGACAGCCCAGCTTCCCACTGCAAAGCATCCTGGGAAAACTTGAGTTGTGTTCTCAGAGTTGACAAGTCCCTTCTGATTTCACATATGTCACACTGTCAGATGGAACGTGAGTTTTTCCCTTTTCTTCAGCTGACATCGGACATCTTTGAGGTGTCCTGAAGAGGAGGGTGGCTGTTTGGTGGGAGACTCTATCAGTGGAAATGAAGAGCTCAGCTGATGGCTGTAGATCCTCACCCCTCAAAGGTTTTTTTGAGGGCTGGTTCCTATTTCGTAATGGCTCCAGATGATTTAGAAGCTAGCTACTGAGTTCAGTAAACACGTTGTTTCATTCTTAACCACTAAAAAGGGCTCCTTCTTCGGATCTGTTTTTCTAGACCATCCTTGGAGAAACACAGGAGGAGGAGGATGAGATTCTTCCAAGGAAAGACTATGAGGTGAGCTCCTCTGATACTGCTTGGGTGACTAATGTAGCAGGTTCCAAAAAGTGGCCTGGTCATTTTAGCCGAAACATGATTCCAACTAGAGATGCGCTTTGACCTTCTATCCTAGGGAGTGAATGGGTAAGGGATAATTCCTTCTGGGAAAGAGACTGTTTAACAAGCCTTTTTCTCACCTTAACCCCTAAACAAGGTCCACTGTTTTTACACATTTATGAATCTGTGGCATCTTAACCTGGAGAGAGTATGTATTTGCCATTAAACTGCTTTTATAGCTTACAGAGAGACCTAGAGTGAAAGGCACTGACAGTATGTGCTCCTAACAGGTGTGTGCTCATAAACTGTTAAGGAGGCCTTGCTTCTCTTCTAAAAGAGCTTGCTTTTTAGATATTTTCTTTCTTTTTCTTTGAAACAGAGTTTCACTCTTGTTGCCCAGATTGGACTGCAATGGCGCAATCTCAGCTAACCACAACCTCCGCCTCTGGGTTCATGCGATTCTCCTGCCTCAGACTCCTGAGTAGCAGGTTTAAAGGCATGTGCCACCTTGTCCGGCTAATTTTGTATTTTTAGTAGAGATGGGGTTTCTCCATGTTAGTCAGGCTGGTCTCGAACTCCCAACCTCAGGTGATCTGCCCACCTCGGCCTCCCAAAGTGCTGGGATTACAGGTGTAAGCTACCTTGCCTGGCCTTTTGTTTTTGTTTTTTGTTTTTGAGACAAGAGTCTTGCTCTGCCACCCAGGCTGGAGTGCAATGGTGCAGTCTCTGCTTACTGCAACCTTCACCTCCCAGGTCAAGCGATTCTCCTGCCTCAGCCTCCTGAGTAGCTGGGATTACAGGTGGCACCACCACACCTGACTAGTTTTTATATTTTTAGTAGAGGTGGGGTTTCACCATGTTGACCAGGCTGGTCTCAAACTCTTGACCTCAGGTGATCCGCCCGTCTCAGCATCCCAAAGTGCTGAGATTACAGGCGTGAGCCACTGCACTTGTCCAACTTTTCAGATTATTTTCTTGCGCAAGCAGCTTCTCTGTGACTGTTCCCGATTGAAGTTCCAACTTTCATGTATGGGATTCTTAGAGTGTGTGTTTTTAGTAAAGCCAGCACTGCTGGGGTAAAACAACATGCATGACTTTTTATCATTCTTTTTTTTTTTTTGAGATAGAGTCTTGCTCTGTCACCCAGGCTGGAGTACAATGGCACAATCTCAGCTCACTGCATCCTCTGCCTTCTGAGTTCAAGCCATTCTTCCTCAGCCTTGAGTAGCTGGGATTATAGACACACGCCACCATGCCTAGCTCATTTTTGTATTTTTAATGGAGATGGGGTTTCACTGTGTTGATCAGACTGGTCTCAAACTCCTGACCTCGTGATCCACTTGCCTTGGCCTCCCAAAGTACTGGGATTACAGATGTGAGCCATTGCGCCCAGCCTTCAATTCTTAAACTGTGTACTTAAAGAAGGTAGAGAGAAGCCTATGACCCCATTCCTGAAAAGATGACTATTAACACCTTACTAAATATCTTTTTAAATCCTTAGCCATGTTTTGATACACATGCTTTTTTTAATGCATGCTGTTTTTAAGTAACAAAAATGAGATTCCACTAAATCAACTATTCTAACTTGTCCCACTCACTTCCTTTATTACACTTTTTGTATCACTAGGTAATTTTCCACAGTCTTTTTAAACAGGAATAGTATTTTATTGTGCCACAATTTATTTACTCTGTCTTGAGTTTTTCTGACTTTTCTGTGTCATGAACTGCGTAGTGGTGGGCATCCATCTATCTACCCATCCTTTCCTGCCCATGCTTAATTGCTTCCAGTTCTTGGAACTAATCATGTGTATGTCTAATGCCTTTTAAAAATGCCATATGGGGCTAGGTGCAGTGGCTCACACCTGTAGTCCCAGCACTTTGGGAGGCCAAGGCTGGTGGATCACCTGAGGTCAGGAACAGCCTGGCAAACATGGCAAAACTCCATCTGTACAAAAAATACAAAAATTAGGTGGGTGTGGTGGCATGCGCCAGTAATCCCAGCTACTAAGGAGGCCGAGGTGGGAGAATTGCTTGAATCCGGGAGGCCCAGGTTGCCGTAAGCTGAGATTGTGCCACTGCACTCCAACCTTGGCAACAGAGCAAAATTCTGTCTCAAAAAAACGTCATATGGACTTAAAAAACCCAATATACTAGACAATAACATACCCAGGCTAACTTTCTTTTTAATATTTCATTTTATTTTTGCTGTAGACTTTAATGTCAACATTAGGATTTGTGGTGTAGCGCTTTTTTTTAACTTTTATTATGGAGGATTTCAACTATATGCAGAAACAGAGAGAATAATCTATTCAAACCCCTTGTCCTCATCACACAGCTTCCACAGTGATTCAGCTCAAGCCCGGTCTTCTTTTGTCTCTGCTTTCATTATTCACTTCTCCCTTCCCATATTATTATTACATTTTGATTATGTGTGTGTATGTGTGCATGTGTGTGTGTATTTTAAAGTAAAGACAGTCTCCCTATGTTGCCCAGGCTGGTGTCAAAATCCTTGACACCAGCAATCCTCCCATGTCAGCCTACCAAAATTCTGGGATTACAATAATGACCTACCATACCTGGCTTCCCTTCCCATTTTATTTTGAAAGAAATTCTGTACATCATATTATTTCACCCATAATTCAATATGCATCTCTAATGGATATGGACTTTTAAAAAGCATTTCCCAATACTATTATTACCACTTCTAAAAAAAAT